ACATTCTCAGTTCAACTACTATACATTACCGGTCACTCCCTTTAATGTTTCTGTCTATCTTCCCATAAATATCTATTGATACATATATCTTTTTTAGCTAATTATTTATTTATTTATCTATCTGTTTATAAGTCTGTTTTTCTATCTTTACCAATTTGATGTAATGCAAGGAAAGTTATTTCAGAAGTGTACACATCTTTTGTACTACAGAGTACTCTCTCTGGGCGGTAATGTAAACACAAGATGGATGTTAAAGCCTGACATGGGAACCATCTTTCACATAAAAAATCAATGTAATATTCTGGTCATAGGAAACTATTATGTGAATTATCAAAATTATCAAAATTTAATGCTTTTAACCTCCTCGGCTGCTAAACGAACACTTGTTTAAAAATTCCGCCCAAAGAGAACTGGTTTCAATATGTACGCAGAGTATAATCGACCCCAATTAATTTTCCTTGCATTACACCCTTGATCTTTACTATCAAGCTATCTGTCTGTATATCTATATATCTATTTATTTATATATCTATGTATATTTCTTTCTATGTATCAATCCATCTATCTATCCATCATGTTTAAAGATATTAAGATCTACGTGAGGTTAATATTAAAACCGGTTTCTCTAACATACACAAACAGATAAAAACCAGTCTTCTTCGTTTGGAGCATTAACATAACATTTCACCAGTATTCTATACAAGGGCCGTTGCTTTCTAATACTACAATTGTCGGCCAGATAACGTCTTCGTTTGTGTGCTACCTGAGCTGAAAACTTTAGAATGAGATATCATTAATCTCAGTATCCAATGGACACACTTTTGATTTTCATCTTATACCGTTCTTTCTTGGATATAGTAGAGAAAAATCAAAAACAGTTTTTTTTAAATTAGTAAGTCACACCCGTTTCTGTATATAATCTTAAATGGCGCGCTAAAATTTAAATTTGTAGGCTTTTTATACTCGGCTCTGATTGGTTGAATTTTATACACTTTTCAGGATACAAATAGATTAGATTAGATTAGATAGTAAAGATAGATTAGATTAGTCTCGATATTAAGAAAAAGAGAGGATCACCCATTAATCTCGATATCCACCATTCTAAAGTTTTCAGTTCAGAGTATATAATCTATCAGATAAAAAATCTTACGTTTGACTTCTTGTTCATACAAGAAACGAACTCTGCTAAAATATTCAAATTAGGGTTACCAACATTTTAACCACTCAGCAAAATGATGAATTATTTGGTCAACTGTCAAGGTTTGCCATCTATATACAAGATCTCACTATAGTTTCAGTAAAAGCAATTATTTCCATTTACTGATAACGCTTAGTAAAGGATTCATAACTCTGATTGGATAAAGAGATAGATAGAAAGATAGATGCTACCGCCATACTATTTCTATAGGTTCAGAATAGACAACAAACACATGACTGAACCCTGATGGGATCAGGAGCTAATGGACCGACATACAGGAGTGCTCTGCGTGTGCAGTACACCATGCTTTATATCTGCCTAGAAGTTGGTACGGTACTTTTTAGTGATATCACTAAAAGAGTTAGGTTTGATGTTACAAACTTATTACTCTTGTAGATTTTATTTTACATCCAAAGGTTTAAAAACTCGTTAATTCATATGTTTATTTAATTTTAAATTTATTTATTTATTGATCATACGTCGATTGATTCTTGAACTGTTCCTTTAAGAGTTATATATTGTGATATATTAATGAATTCTTGAACTGTTCCTTTAAGTTTAATATTATGATAATATATTAATGATTTCTTGAACTGTTCCTTTAAGTTTAATATTATGATGATATATTAATGAATTCTTGAACTGTTCCTTTAAGTTTAATATTATGATGATATATTAATGAATTTGTTGGAATTGTTTAGGAAAATTCTTTGTATTCTCTTTATTCATATCTCCAGCTCTCTACACTTCCGGTATTCATTCCTAGAGTATTAAATACACTAGAGTAGGGACAACACTTCCTGTATTCATTCCTAGAGTATTAAATACACTAGAGTAGGGACAACACTTCTTGTATTCATTGCTAGAGTATTTAATACACTACTAGAGTAGGGACAACACTTCCGGTATTCATTCCTAGAGTATTAAATACACTACATAGAGTAGGGACAACACTTCCGGTATTCATTCCTATAGTATTAAATACACTACATAGAGTAGGGACAACACTTCTTGTATTCATTCCTAGAGTATTAAATACACTACTAGAGTAAGGACAACACTTCCTGTACTCATTCCTAGAGTATTAAATACACTACTAGAGTAGGGACAACACTTCCTGAATTCATTCCTAGAGTATCAAAAGCACTAGAGTAGGTACAACTCTTCTTTTATTCATTCTTAGAGTATTGAAAGCACTAGAGTAGCAAAGAGAATAGAATATATATTAGAGGGGAATTTACTAGAAAAAAGTGTAAAATGGCCATTTTGTTGTACTGTTTCCATACTGCAGGTGTACTTCACATATTTATGCTATATAACCTTTTGGGCACTGGAATATCATTTTATAGAAAATCTGAAATTAATGTTAGAAGAAAACCGAATTATGAAAAAGGCTGGTTTCATAATTGACCAATGATAATTTCACATAGACTCTATGCCTTTCACTTTACAAACGATGATTTTCCGTTATAACTATAAATCAAATGATAACTATAAATCAAAATTTTATTTAACAGCTTTAAAAAATTCGAAATTAAAATGCATAGTCTATGGAACATACTGTATTAATGTACTCTACTGCATATAATTTGTGAACATTTACATGATTTATACACTTTGAACTCCCTTTCAGGCTGAAAGAGACTGAAAAAAATTCATACTGAGAGATTCTCTAAATTTCCCTCTAATATATATTCTATTCTCTATGTAGAGTGGGCACAACTCTACTTGTATTCATTCGTAGAGTATTAACTGCACTAGAGTATAGGTGCCACTCTTTCAGTATTCATTCTTATAGTATAAACAGCACTAGAGTAGGTAAAACTCTTCTTTTATTCATTCTTAGATTATTAAATACACTAGAGTAGGTTAACTCTACCAGATTCATTCTTAAAGTATTAAATACACTAGAGTAGGTACAACTCTACCAGATTCAATCTTAGAGTATTAAATACACTAGAGTAGGTTAACTCTACCAGATTCATTCTTAGAGTATTAAATACACTAGAGTAGGTACAACTCTACCAGATTCAATCTTAGAGACAAGATTTAAAGAGAATTCAACTCCTTTATTGGAGAGTCACAATTGAAATTGTTTCTGCATGCATGTTTTTGTGCTTGCATATCTTTATAACAAAACTAGATATTCCTTTATATGTTCACTAGCAGGTCAAACGGCTTGACCAAATGGGCTGGTTTTTTTAAAATTTGATTTTAAACAATTCCACGGGCAACGCCGGGCACTTCAGCTATTATATAATACATTGCCGTAGAGAAGGTGCTATTTTTATATCATATTAAAAATATGATAAACAGTTTGATCGGGAAATTATGAACTGACGGTAATTAATAAATACCCCCTCTCACGGATAATTCATAATACACGCCGTTAGCTTTATTAGTGTTAAATAAAGATAATAGTTTCGAAAATAAATTAATGCACTTGAAATGCGCGTTTAAAAAGTTAATTTTATATAATATTAATGTACTGTTACGGATGAAGAAGGTAAATATATAATTTATATTTTTTATATATATATATATTGACCCCTTAGCCAACTTTCACCCTTAACTTAGGCATCTAAATGTAGATGTAGTGTTTTCAGGCAGTATTCAAGCAAACCTTGCCCTGGCTTAGGTCAACCTGCTAACAAGCGTATCAAGTAGTGACGCAAAGAATGCGTAGGTGTAGTAAGGCTAGTTTTCATGATGGATACATAGCTTAACACATTTTTTTGTGAAATTCTGTTAAGATAACAAGTGATACCCATGCAACTTTGATTTAAAGGGACTGTAAAGGAAAAATAAAAGGAGGTATAGACTGAACCTGAGAATCTCAGGAGTTGGTCGATACCCATAAGAGTTCTATCTGATGTTCCTGTCTCGAGAAATTGATATAAAACTGTGTCAAAATCATACCAAAACGTATATATGTAAGATTGTGTGTAAGATTCGTAGTATTAAACAGATCATATTCAGCAAATATGCTACCAATCTGAAAACAACGATATCCCACAGCTGGACCCGAGAAGCTCAAGTTTGCTTTTATTATTATTTGAATTTAATAATTTTTCATTCTTAATAGATATAATTGATAATATTATTTATGCGTCCAGAACATGTCACCATAACTCCAACCAATGGCAGTGCAGTATTATTGTCACTTGTCTCCGTCTGTATCATGTGACATACTGCACTGTCATTGGATTGAGTTCTGGTTACGTGATACTGACGTATATCTTACATATATACGTTTTGGTATAATTTTGACACAGTTTTAAGTCAATTTCTCGAGACAGAAACATCAGATAGATGTGTTATAGGTATCGTTCAACTCCTGAGATTCTAAGGTTTCAGCCTATACACCCTTTAATTTTTCTTTTACAGTCCCTTTAATAAAAAGATAATATTAAATCAATCTTTGTATATAATGTTTGTTTTAAAGTTAATAGTTCTACTAGTAGCTTTAAAATCAACTTATTAAGTGAAATGTGTCTGTGTACAATGCACAATTACCGTGTTGTATGTTCATTGGACAAAAATAATAACTTGAGTTTAACAGTCGTCTTCACATTCCACAGTTTTATGGGTCCTACTGTAGAAACAAAGTAAAATGATTATTTTACATAATTTCAAGTGGGCCTCCTGGGAAAGATGGAAATGCCCGATTCACAACGATACCACTAACATCTTTGTCTGATCAACAATGAAAAAGATATCCATGTTTTTTCTTTTTTATCTTTAACAATCAAATATTTAATGGGTTTTTCATATAATTTAATATTATCTAATATTGAATTTAATTTATTAAACTTTGATTTCAGATTTGATGTTTGTATAATAATGCTTGAAGAAGATGATTTATCACCCTGGAGATTATTTAAGTAAGTATAAGTCTTGTAGTAGAAATATTTACCACCCTGGAGATTATATAAGTAAGTATAAATCTTGTAGCTGGAGATTATATAAGTAAGTATAAATCTTGTAGTAGAAATATTTACCACCCTGGAGATTATATAAGTAAGTATAAATCTTGTAGTAGAAATATTTACCACCCTGGAGATTATATAAGTAAGTATAAGTCTTGTAGTAGAAATATTCACCACCCTGGAGATTATATAAGTAAGTATAAGTCTTGTAGTAGAAATATTTACCACCCTGGAGATTATATAAGTAAGTATAAGTCTTGTAGCAGAAATATTTACCACCCTGGAGATTATATAAGTAAGTATAAATCTTGTAGCAGAAATATTTACCACCCTGGAGATTATATAAGTAAGTTTAAGTCTTGTAGTAGAAATATTTACCACCCTGGAGATTATATAAGTAAGTATAAGTCTTGTAGTAGAAATATTTACCACCCTGGAGATTATATAAGTAAGTATAAGTCTTGTAGTAGAAATATTTACCACCCTGGAGATTATATAAGTAAGTATAAGTCTTGTAGCAGGAATGCTCAACCGAAGTCACTTTTGAAGAGATATTACAATTGAAAATGATCATTTTAAAACAAGAAAAACAAAGAGAAATAATTCATATTCTATCAGACGATATTTTTAAGGGTACTGTTGTAAATCGGCTTTGTCACAAAAATAGATCAGGTTTCTAGAAATTACGTTACAGCCTCTCTAATATATTAATTAGGGCATTAATCAACTGAGAATTATCGGCCATTTTTTTAAGGCTTCATTTTTGCTCTAAATCACTGCACGCAATTTTACACATACAGGGTGAGTAAAACCAGGATTAGTGTTTTTTTAACATACAACCATGTTTTTTTTTGTAGGGTTCAGGTTTTGTTGTAATATAATTACTATGATGCAAATAAAAATTAATTTAGAAATTATTTGAAAAAATGTTTTCCTCTATTTTATGCCAAATCTGATAAATATAAGAGATATATCGAAATAGCCGCAAACAAATTTCAGTGCAAATTGTCACCAAATAAAGAAAATTAAACATAAAAACTGAATTAACTCTAACAAATATGAATTACATTTTGAATGCCAATATTATATAAATAGAAATAATATTTTGTCAGTACACTTTTTTGAAAGCTTTCCCTTAAAGCATGAACCCAACCCTGCACACATTTTAATAGTGTTTTTTTTTGTGGAAAACTTCTTTCGGATTCATTTAAGACATATTAAACTTTAAAAAGATCTGTAAATCCTGAGTTTGAGCGCAAATTCGACGTTCAAAACTCCTACTTTGGAGGTGGATACGTTTTCAAAATTAGTTTTTTTTTAATTATTAAATAACGACAACAAAAAATATAAACAAAATTCTACAGTAAATAAATTAGTTGTTTCGGAATCGGTTCAGAAAATAAAAATTAATCTTATCATCGAAAATAAGTAATCTTGTCTAATTATTAGTTTCTATTTTCTCATTATTCTAGTTCGTATTATTCACAAAGATTTTCGCAAATTTTCTTAAATTATTATTGAAAAGACGACATTTGAAGAATTTTAAGAAATCTGCGAATAAATTCAAAGAAAATAAGAAATTCAATATAATATAGAAAACGAAATAATTAATTATAGCATTGATTTAATGACAAATTTCTTTTGAGAAATATGTTCCCCCCCCCATTTAATTAGATTACTGTGATTTTTACTTTATTTTTCGTCGTCGTTATTTAGTAATTTAAAAAAACCGATTCTGAAAACGTATCCACCCACAGTAGGAGTTTTGAACGTCTGATTTGCGCTCAAACTTAGGATTTACAGATCTTTAAAAAGTTTTATATGTCTCAAATGAATCCGAAAGAAGCTTTCCACAACACTGCATACTCAGTTCAACTACCTTACATAGCCGGTCACTCCCTTTTAGTGAAAAATTACAGTCGATTCGGTCCAGCCGTTTGGCACATACAAACAAATATATATATATATATATATATATATATAAATATATATGTATATGAGAAAAAAAGCTATATTATATAGATTTCATACAGTACAACATGTAATATTTAAACAAATTCTTTTTAAGGTTTTAATGACAGAATCATTTACGACAGTGATGATGACAATCTGTATTATTATACCATAGGTAAAAAAACTTCTTGTTAAATAGCTCTTTGGAAAATCTTTAAAAAATAACAGATTTAACAAGTTTTATAAAGAAATGTTGCCCTTTTTTGGTGAATTATATCTTATTTTCAGTTTTTCTGAAATACACACTTAGGTTTAGAAATATAAAAAATATTTTTTCGAAGTTGGGGCTTTTTTGTAAATGTATTATTTAAAAAAAATTTGATTGAGTAAACATGGAATTTAGAATTGTTTTATAAAATGTTGAAATAAAATCTTATTTTAAACAAATCTTAAAATGATTTAGGGCCTTTGGGATTTCCAATTGAAACAACAACACCACCAACAACAATAACAACAACAACAGCACCAACAAATCTTGTTCAGAAAACTTCCGATCTTACCCAAGTCGCTCCCACTCTCCTCCAAGCCGCTCCAAATCTCCTTCAAGCCGCTCCAAATCTCCTCCAAGCCGCTCCAAATCTCCTCCAAGCCACTCCCACTCTCCTTCAAGCTGCTCCGAATCTAATCCAAACTACTCCCAATCTCCTTCAAACAGCTCCCAACTTCCTTCAAACAACTCCCAACTTCCTTCAAACAGTTCCGAACCTTCTCCCTTCTACCCCCGACCTTCTCCCATCTCTGGCTCCACTTCTCTTCCTTCCCCTTCTTCTCATTCCACTCTGGTTTCTAGCAGGTTCAGACAGGGTTGCCTCTTATTTGGGGATGAGGAAGTTTTCACTTTTAGGATCGTTTCAAAAACTATGAAATAAAAATTAAGACAACTGTTTTAAAAACTACCGATTTAAAAAAAGATTGTTTTCAAATTGAAATAAAAAAACGAAGTGCGGTTATTAAAAATCAAATACGAAATAATCGTTTTTTTTTTGTTTTGAAAAGAGTTTTAAAACTTGACAATTGACAGATTTGTCAGTCGGCCATTTCTACAGTTCTACAGTAAACATGTGAAAGCTAACAGTTCCAAGACAACATTCAATAACCACGATTTAGAATCAATTTGTATCTATTTTTAGTGAAGCAAATTATGACAAAACAATTTTTTGTTATACAGTCATAACCAGAAAACTCCGTAATAGGAAGACGACTTTCAGACTCAAGTTATGACTTTAAATAGACCAATGAGCATGGGACACAGCAATTGCATAGTGAATTTCATTTCATTAGTGATTCAATAAGTTTCTGGTGAAACTTTTATCTTTGTTACAACCTAAAATACACATACAGTCGTCTTCCTATTTCAGAGTTTTCTGGTTACCACTGTATGTATTTAAAGTTCTTATTAAGAAAGTAGTTCTATAATATGGAAACTTTGAGACCAGTTTTAAATAAACACTTCACATTTCCTGCAATGGACAAACATCTCCTTGCGGACTGCGGAGTTATGTTTTTTAAAGTTTTAATTTCCAAATTACAGTTATAAATCGTTGATGGCACTTTTTAATTGAAATGTCAGTTAAAAATACTTTAAAAGAGCTATTTAAATCTATATTTTAGGGGGTCTGTGGGCTCTGATAACAGGAGTTGCACCCTACGGGCTCAGGTAAGATTAAGACAATGCATTATTATTTTTGATTATTAAAAATTGTTCAAGTTAAATAATTATGTAAGTAATTTTTAATTTTGTAATAAATATCATTAAAAAAATACTAAAATGACTCTATACAAGAATAAGGCTTCACACATGGAGGTGCAATAAAGCATGTGAAAAGCCCAATTTTTACGAAAGCCTCTTTTTTATTTTTGATCCAAATTTAATGGTTAGGGTCTATTCTAGAATTCAAAAAATTACCTGAGAAAAATGTAGTATAAAATGTACGACGCATGTTTTGAATCATTTTTCAAAGAGCTTTCTAAATATTAGATCTATTTTTTTCAGACATGAGCTTGAAGGATTATCATTTCTGTTTCAGGTGAAAACTAATTTCAAATTAAATTTTTTTTTGCATGCATAGCAATGTTATCAGTTAAGTTTGAAATAATTTATAAAAATCCATTCCTCGTCTTTTTTTTGAAAACTTTTTTCGTTATACTTTTGATCATTTTATTTGATTTTTCATAAAGATTAAAATTTTTGCAAAGTTACAATTTTAAGATTCTAATACTTTTCATATATGGTAGGTAATATATGGGGGGTGAGGGTCAAGAAAAGGGTTTAATTCATACAGAACATTTATTTGATTATATTCACTTACATAAAGTCATTCCTTTTTTTAAATTTTCGAATAAAAAATATCAAAAATACCAAAAATATACCATCGATAATTTCATAGTTAGAAAGCTATTTAAAAATGTTTTTTTAAAGTTGTTCTTTTTTTAATCTATGAAAGATAATTACCGTTGACGAAATTTCAATTAACTTTCAAGTTAAAGAAATTTTATTTATATCTGAAAATTGTTGTGGTTTCTATACAAACGTTACTTACAATTTTTAATCAGCCGAGACAAAGAACGTAATTTAGTCATCACTCTTCATGAGAAAAAAAAATACTTTTTATTCAAGGTACTAATGCAAGGAAAGTTATTGTAAATACAAGGCGGATGTCGAAGCCTGACATGGGATCCATCTTTCACATAAAAAACAATGAAATATTCTGGTCATAGTAAACTATTATGTGAATTATCAAAATTATCAAAATGAAATGCAAATAACCTCCTCGAATACTAAAAAAACACTGATGCATCTATTCTTGTTTACAAATTCCGCCCAGAGAGAACTGGTTTCAATATGTACGCAGAGTATACGCAACTGCAATTAACTTTCCTTGCATTATAACCTTGTTGATATTAATCTTTTATGAAAAATAAATTGGTAAAATTATAAAGAATATGTTAAGGGACAGGCAGATACCTTGAAGTTGGTAAAATCTGGACTTTCCCAAGGATTCACGGATTTAGGTAAAAAAAATTTTTTTCAATGAAAGCTAAACATTTTAAATCCATGATTTTCTGTGATTATAAAATATCAAATAAATCCATGATTAACTATGAAGCAAAGATTCGTCTAAAAATTAATTTTTACAGAGATCTATAGAGAGTACCCATGAAAATTAAACATCAATTTTCTAGACCGGGTCAACTTTAAAGTGTCGCAAACCCTCGTCTATTCGTTTTAGATTACTCACTTACATTTACTTTTTTGTTGGCCCAGACAACTACATTTTTAAACTTCAACGGAGGCCGGATTTAAATTTAAAAATCGTATTCATTGTTTTGAGGTTTGAGCCGTTGCTTAATTGGAACCGGTTTTTGGTGGATCAGCAACGCGTTTTAAATTCTTTAAATTCGACCTCGAGCTTATATCTAGCTTTACAGTTAAAAAGAAGTAATTTGCACTTTCGACTACTGTGTTTTTTTAGATAAGTTGTTGGCAGACTTATTCAATATCCGTCCAGAGCAACAACAACAACAACAACAACAACAACAACAGTACTATCAGTCCAACCAACAGCAGTTTTGGAATTCAGGGATTTCCTCTTCTCAATGGACTGTAGAAAACTTTGGAGGCCTAACCCAAGGGAACCAGGGGTCCCTAAGACCCCCTCTTCATGGGAACCAGGGGAACCTAAGACCACTAGGACAAGGGAGCCAAGTTTATCAAAAACCTTGGTCAGGTGCTTTTGCAAATATGAACCAAGAGAACCAAAAACTGGAATTGAAGAAAGAGTTTTTAAAGAATCTAAAATCTGGAATTTCGGATCATATCTTTAGGAAAATTATTGTTTAATCTTAGCCTCCCTTCCCCCCCCCCCTTCCCCGTAGTATCATATAGTATTTTTGAAACAGTGAATCTACTAAAAAAAAAGGCTGAATATATCACCAAAAATTATAGAAAATAATTTGTAACTATTTTTTCAATGTCAATGTCATAGACCACGCTATGCTGGATTGCTTTACTTAATAAATTTTACATAAACTAGAAATTCAAGGCGCTTCGCGCCCCGCTTCGCGCCCATCTTCTAAATTAATTGTAAACATGTTCTCTTTGTGTACATCGTAAAACTAAACAAAAATAATTCGCGGATTTTTACAAAAAATTTCGCGGATTTTCAAAATTTTAAAAAATTTAATGACGATCGAATTTTGATAGAGACAAATATTTGAAATTTTGATGATTCATAAACCTTCCCTGGGCTCCCTAGATGTCCCACAAAAAATTTGGGCCCGAACGGTTCAGCCGTTTTGACGTTTATTGGATACAAACAAACAAACAGACAAACAAACAGACAGACAAACAAGCCAAATTTATATATAGATGTTTGGGAATTTATCTTTTTTTTTGGAAGATTTTGTTAAAATTGAAAACTGTCAGATAACTGTTAAAGAGTTTGAATATGGAAATTCGTTTGAAGGAAACTTTTTTGAGATAACATGCAGACATTTCAGGCTGCCTTGAATTAAATCAAGAACAGATGGAGGGGGGGGGGGAGTTAACGCTTCATTTACATCTTATCAATAATATGGAAGATATGATATTGTCGTTTTTCTAGATTGAAAAATGGTTAATTCTGACAACTGCCTCCATTGTTTCTGAAGCAGGAATGCAATTAAGTCACTTAGATAGAACCATCATAAGAAAATAATCAACTTTCAACAAAATAATGTTTTAAATCTCATTTATCCTTGACCAGACAAAACTTTTAAGGACACCATAGTAAATCAGATATAGACCATTTTATAAATGAAGAGTCACTTAAAATTTTGTCAACAGTCCCTTTAACGCCCTTAGATAAAACAATGTATATTGTGAAGAGGTGTGCTGACCCTGATATCTCTAGTAGCTGGCCCTCTCCAGGCCGCTACTCATGCTATAGGACTTATTGCACTCAGGTAAGGGCAAAGAGAATAGAATATATATTAGAGTGGAATTTACTAGAAAAAAGTGTAAAACGGCCATTTTGTTGTACTGTTTCCATACTCCAGGTGTATTTCACATATTTGTGCTATATAACTTTTTGGGCCCGGCCCTGGAATATCATTTTATAGAAAATCTAAAATTAATATTAAAAGAAAATCAAATTATGAAATAGGCTGGTTTCATAATTGACCAATAATCATTTCACTTTACAAACGATGATTTTCCGTTATAACTATAAATCAAATGATGTTTATAATTCACCTAATTCATTTTTTTAAAAGTTTATTTGACAGCTTTAAAAAATTCGAAATTGAATTGGATAGTCTAGGAAACATACTGTATTAATGTACTCTATGCATATAATTTGTGAACATTTACATGATTTGTACACTTTGACTGACAGGAAGGGGGGAGGGGGGGGGAGGGGTTAGTATCTTACCTTGTTAGGAAGTGTTCCTGAAAAAGGAATGGAAGTGAATATAAATTAGTTATTTTTCTGTCTTTTTTAATATCCCAGCTTTATGTAGAATATGTTAAATTTTGTTATTTATTTTTCTATCAATTTTATGAACTATAGAATCTGCTTGTTAAAAAGAAATTCTCTTTTAAGTATGCTAAACTGCTTGATCCAATAATAAGAGGATAATCTAATAATTTATGTTTGTTTCAAATAATTGACTGCAAAGTAAATCTAATACGTAGAATATGTTATAAACATATGTCTCTAAACTATTATTTTTTGAAAATTACGCATACATTTCAAATTAGATAAGTGAGAAACTATAATTCTTAACATAACATCATGGACTTTGGGACTTACCAGGTCTAGATGCATTCGGTTTAATATATATGAATTCAATCGCATTGTGGTCTATAACTCGAAACACTGTTTAAATTTGCATTTGCATTTGCATGGATGCATTTAAAAATACATACACCGACACAAAAGTATGAAAGAGAAAAAACTAAATGTTTTTGTTTAACGGGTTTATTTGCGTTTAAAAGTCACAGCCTACCTTGAACTATTGTTTGGTTGATTATTTTATATGTTTAGTAAGAACCCTAGATCTCCTGTACTGGGTGAGTTTACGCGCTGGCTGGACAACAGGAGTACTGCAGACAACCAGGCAGTACAGTACATCAAGTAAGAAATTGTTGAAAAAACCCGCAAATTATCAAAAAAATCCTAGAAAAATCCAAATTTTCTTATCCGCTTTAAAGAACGGTACCGACTTTAAGGAAGCTTGAAAAAGTTGTAGATTACTATATGAACTATATAATTATTATTTAATTTATTATAATTAAGTATTTAATCCTATAACTGTAATATATTCTGTATTAATGCTTGATGCGATCTATGTTATCCATGCTAGTAATATATCTTAACTATCTGTATTTTGACCCTGTCCGGCTAGCCCGGTCAGTTTAGTTCACCTGTATATAAAATAAATTAGTTCAATACGAATTGTTGATTAACACGGACGTATACAGAGCCTTGAGTTTTGGCTAGAGATAGAATCAGTTAGATTCTAAATTAGACTTTGAGTTAAGTGATCGTTGAATTATCTCGGGGCTAGATTTCTTACATAACTGTACAACCTGACATCGTAATCCATTGATATTTAAGATATAAAAGAATTCAGATTAAATATATAAAAAACGATAAAAAAGTAAAAGGCTTTAACCAGTATATGGTTAGAAAAAATTGTGATTTTAGCTTACTAATTTATCCAAAGGGACTGTTTACTACAGTAAAACCCTTTGCGGGAACAGTTTTAAAGAGTTCCATATAATCATTTAATTAAAAAACTTAATATCTGCAACATTCTATAATCAGAAAGTGAAGAATACGACATTTGATGAATTCTTTCGATTTATTCGTTATTAAGGGTTTCACCGTATGTTTAGCACAAAACCCCGCAAAATGAGCCAAAACATGGATAGACGGGGTCGAGGCGTTTTGGCTCATTTATTTCGGAGCGCCAATTATAGAATAAGAAAATTTTGAATAAATATTTTTTTTAAATTTTCAATATTAGAGAAATCATTTTTAAACTCAACATAAAATAAATATTTTCAGAATTTGTCATTTATATTTCGTGTAAGGATTTTTTCTTTATCTAAATTTCTTAAAAGATAACATAATTTTCTATTTCAGAATGAAGGCTGTAACACCTCACCCCTTCTTTGTGCAACAAACCCCATTCCCTAACTTCTACAGTCAGTTCAAATCATAGACGAATTAAATGCAAAAACTTTTTGTTAGATATTTACCGAAAGATTTAGTAATAACGAACATATAATTCTTATGGATATAAATATGTCCAACATAAAACACAGTGTCCAGCAATAACCAATCTTAACAGAATAGACTTATTTTAGGAAGATATATTTGTATGTATATATATGTGTTAGCTATTGCTGGCCAAACGGCTTGACCAAATTGGCTCATTTTTTTTTTAGAGGGAACCCATGGGTAAAATTTGATTTAACATTATTTCAAAAATATTTTTCTCGAAATTTTATTTTTTTCTGAAATTCGAAATTTTATTTTTCAAAATTCGAATTTATTTTAAGAGACACACCGGGAACTTAAGCTCGTATACATATATATAAAAACATATTTACGTCATAATTGTGCAATATTTATTAATGTAAGGCAACTCGAATTATGTGAGGAAATAAAATTTTATTTTTGTGATATATATAAGTGCAATAAAAACTTAAATTTCAATGTTTTATAAAAAGATCTATTCATATTAAATAAATTATTTAAAACATGTTATTGATCCTTGATTTGTTAATTCAGCATAACCTTTTTTATTATTATTATTTATTTATTATTGGATTTCAGGGAAGGTAAGAGTATGTTCAAGCGAACCCCGTCGTGCCAAGATGACAATACCAGATTAATTCACAGTGGTACCCTTGATCAATGTGGAAGAAATAGCCGTTTCTCTAGGTTTAAAAATGTTATATTCTGGGCTGAAAACTTTAGAATGAGATATCCTTCATCCCGATTACTTAATCTGAGTATCCAATGGACAAACTTTTGATTTTCTTCTTGAACCGTTCTTTCTTAGCTATAGTAGAGAAAAATTAAAAACCGGTTTTTCTAAATTAGAGAGTTCCTCCCATTTCTGTGTATAATCTTAAATGGCACGCACAATTTCAAATTTATCAGCTTCAAATACGCGACTCTGATTGGTTGAATTTTATCAGGATACAAGTACAAGATTAGATTAGTCTCGATATTATGAAAAAGAGAGGATCAAGCATTAATCTCGATATCCACCATTCTAAAGTTTTCAGCTCTGATTAAGTAAGAATTATAAATGTTATAATTAAAAAAAAATGATTATTTTTAATTGTGATTTCTATAATAACTAAATTGACTTGCGCATTTCTTACGCAGAAAAATTGGAGGAATTATCAGAATCAATCAATTTTAAACCAACCCTTTAAAACGACAATGTCTTCCACATTGCAATGATCAGATAAAGGTTTCAAGGCACGGGCAGCCGTAGTAGATTTCAATTTCTGAGTCGGGTCAACCTTTCCAGTCCTGCAGTTTGTACTGTATTGCCCGGACATTGGGTAAATAAAGCAGACGCTCAATAGGACTAGCCGGTAGAACAAGGTTGACGCGGTCAGACTTTAGGTTGAATTTACTTTTACTAAAGGGTCAACGGTGCGTGAAGGGTAGCGTTGTTGCACTTTCACATTCCTTTTCAGAACTATGTATTTCTAAATGCTTTTATTCATGTTTTTGTAATCTTTTATAAAAGTGCAATAATTAAAAAAGAATTTAATCTCTATATTTCCTACTTTTGTAATTTTACGTTTAGTGAATAAAACTTAAACCAAATATTTAAGCTTTATATTTTTATTTTAATATATTGAAATGAACCTAAAAGAGTGCATAAATTTGTGCAATGATTGTGTGACTTTATTTGAAGAATGAACTAAAATGTAAATTTAAAAAAGAAAAAAAAACTGAAAGTAAAGGTATTTTATCTTTGATGTTTTTTCATTTCTGAAGTTAAAAAGAAGGGGGGGGGAGGGATTTATAAAGGGGAATAAATCTTATTTTGATGTACTTATCAAATAGAAAAAAATTAAACCTAATTAAAACTAAAGTCGAACTATATATTGTTCGACTGAATAATTGAAAATCTGTCAACACCACACAGTGATCCAAAGCACGGTGGACTAAGCCAGTGGGGTCGGTCAAATAGGCCTAGGATTAGGCCGGGTACTGTAAAAAGTCTGAACGCGCCATGGGAGTTGTCATAGTTAGCCCTCCGACCGTTCGACGCGGCTATGACAAGAAAATTGACCCCTGTCGTATGTTAGTCTGGTTAGGGCGACGTACTGTACCATAGGATCGGGTCAGTACACGTTGTTATCTGGCGGGCCGGTATAAACTGGGCAGGTCCTGTTTGAATTCAAATTTACTACGGCCCAGAGTGAAAGATGGTAAGTTCTCACAAGAAAACCGTTTCGAATTTTGTCAGTTACTTTATAAAGCTAAAAACAAGTTTTTAAAATAGTAGTTTGCAAATATGCATGTTTAGGGCTACAAAAAGTCTAAATACCTGAGAATATATTCTCTAAAGAAAAGAAATAAATAATTTGGGTTTAGGGTTTTTTTTTAACTTAAAGGGATTGTTACGGAAAAATGAAAACTAATCACTTTAGCTCTTGAGCGCGACCAATTACACGTCTTTCTGAATTTCCTGTCTCGAGAAATTAATATCAAACTGTGTCAATTTTATACGAAAAT